ATTTTATAAGACTATTTTGGAAATAAAATCAGATAGATGGGTGGATAGATAAATGGATAGATTGATCAATCAATAGATACATAGCTAAAGACAGCCTGCCACCTAATACGTGCTCAATAAATGTTAGCTTCTTTTCTCTTCCCTGAAAGAATATCCATAAATTTGTACTATATTTACTCCCAACAAGCGCACATTTTGATTATAATTAAGCACCCAATGAAACTCCCTTGCCTATCAATATAGAATCCTAACACTGCCCATGTGTTCTTGATAGATGCTGCCCTTCCCTTTGTCAACCCCCATGTCTTCTCTAGACTCTTTCCACGTGCCTGATTTAACATGCAGAATTCAAAATGGACCACAGTCCTTTGGAGGATATGACAAAAACCTGGTTTTGTGGAACAGTTTTTCTGAACCATGACACTTCCCAGAAAAAAGAAATTGAGGGGAGTGGTAAGGAGGGTGCAGTCACAGGGCTGAGCAAACTTGCACTGCAAGTGCCCACTGGTCCTCAAGTCCAGTTGGAGGATGCTCCCAGGCTAGGGAGCCTATTTTGTGTGTTTAAGTGGTTTCTTTTGTCTTAAACTGTCTGAGATATGTAATTCCAGAAATGTAAAGGCATTTCTTAGTCTGGTCCTAAATTCTTTCTTTTGGTGCTGAGGATAAGCCAATATATAGAAAATGCTTAGTTTGTTCTATAAAGTGTTTAATAAGCATTGAAATATAATCTTGGTAATTAAAATACTTTATATAAATATTAACAAGGCGATGAAGCAGACTCATGCAATGATTTGGATTGCTTCCACCAATGATTACTAGCTGTGTATATAGGAATATGCCTCTCCAAAGTATAGTGAAGACACAAGTCTCTGACTGCTTTAACAAACTGTTATTTAATAAAATGAGAAACTCTCCTATGTGATAAATTAAGTATATATTATGTATAATAACAATAGGAACAATTACAAAAATAAACACACATATAATGTCAGCACTATTATAGAAAATAATACATATGACTTTAATTCTTAAAAAGAGACCCTTTAGCCTAGCCGGCATGGCTCAGTGGATGAGCGTCCACCTATGAACCAGGAGGTCACAGTTCCATAGCCAGGGCACATGCCTGGGTTGTGGGCTCAATCCCCAGTATGGGGCATGCAGGAGGCAGCCGATCAATGATTCTCTCTCATCATTGATGTTTCAGTCTCTCTCTTCCTCTCCCTTCCTCTCTGAAATCAATAAAAATATGATTTTAAAAAGACCATTTAAAAATATTATTCGTGTCTTCATTTTATAGATGAGGAAACTGAGGCAAGTAACCAAGTAACTTGCTTTCATGCAGCTAGTGAGTTTCTGAGTGGGGGTTTAAACTCAGGGAGTATAGCTTGAATCCACAATCTAGGCCACCTTGTATATTATTATGGAACCAACTGCCATGAAGGATTGATTGAGAACTTTTTTTTTTAATGGAATAGAACAAATGTTACAATGGAGATAGTGTCCTGTTGAGAAAAAAGTTATTTAATGCTCTGGAGCTAAGTTATACAGGGTAGGGGAAAACTGGGTTTATAGTTGTGAATACGTGAAACAAAGACTTTATTCTTACACTAGAGGCTCGATGCATGAAATTCGCGCGCAGGTATGGTCCCTAGGTCTGGCCTGCTATCAGGGCCAACTTCCCTGGCTGCCCACAGCCAGCCCCAGTCCCCACCACCCACCCCGGGTTCCCCGTTTGCCAGTGATGGGAGCCTGCCGGCCGGGAAAGGGACTGAGAG